CGAAGGGATGCGCCTTGGAATTTCCACCCTCCTCAGTTTTTTTTTTTTACCATTAAATATCTCTCATTCACATTGCAAAATGCGATGAGCTGTTTGTGAACATAAGACTAAGAAAAGACTCTAAACTGCACGAGATCCCGAAAGCAGCGCAGCCGTCGTTGTTACAAAGTGTGGTGGATTCCATGGCAGAAGTTTGCAGTCCACCGGTTTTCTTTTGGGGGGGAGAGCGCGCGAGGACAGGGCAGCATTTGGGATCAGGTGAGATGAGACTGACCGAAACGCAACATCTTGTCCCATGGCCCGAGCAAGCGCAGAGAAGACCGTCAGCAAGTGGCTTTAAAAACGCCACAGTTTGTCGTGGACGCTGTTTTAGCCCGAGTTTTTTTGCCTGATATCCCTACCGCAACATTGTGTCCAAAAATAGTTCCGCTGAGAGTGGAAAGACCCGGCGAAGCGCGGGTGCGCGCAGAGAAATCTGGTGATTCCCGAAGTGTGTTGGAGGATTTTCCTCTCAGCTCAAGTCAGAGTCATTGCCACCATCTTCCGTTTCGCTCTGGATGTCAGGTCCAGTGCGAGCGCCGAACTGACCCGGAGAAAGTTGGACTTTGGACACGCACGGACGCACGGACGCACGCAGAAAGCAGGAAGTTCCCGCTGCTGCTGAAGGTCAGCCGGCAGCTGTCTTCACGTCCAGCAGTTCAGCCACTGCACCCACTTACACACACACCTTCCTCAGACCCCTCATTCTGCCTCTCTGGCATCAAATGCCAAAAACGTTATTTTTCCTTTTACATTTAGCAGCAAAGTCTGTGTGCCCTTTAATTCTCTGACTTTGTCTCAGGCAGAAAATCTTGAGATCTCCCCCCTGACAACATATGACACAAAAAACACCCATAAAAGGTAACCTTGGCTTTGGGAACTACTGGGATACCACTGTATTGGAGGACATATCGTAAACGTAGCCGTATCTGTGTCTCAGCGTTTTGTGAGCAGGTCTATTATAAGGAAAGGCCATCCCTCTCTGCCACCCGTACCACTTTGCTTGTTACATTATTCAACAGAGAGGGAAGGCAGAAGCACGCCAAGATAGAAACCCGGCTCGTGGCTCTTCTAGTCGTCCTCACCTCACCCACCAGGTCACAGAGAACCTGCAGCAGATCCGGCTAACACACATGTCATATTGGTCATGTTTGCCAAATAAGCTGAACGTGTACACAAACTCCAGCAGAGTCTGACATGAATATCAAATATCGTACTGCCTGTGCCTGTGATGATTAAACTTTGGTTTCAAATTATTCAAATGAAATGGGTCTTGTTAAATGTTTCAGATGGGCTGACGTGAGAGATAGAGCCAGCAGAAGTCCGACTGACAACAGCGCCGCAGCATCACGTGAAACCCCTAACCATCTCTGAGTTATTATAAGACTTTTAAGGGCATTACAATCAATGTTTTCCATCGGAGATGAACAGGGATTTAGCCAAGCAGAATACTGCTGAGATGCTCTTTGATCTCAGCATAACTCCTCTCATATAATGTGCTGTATTATGATAATGGCCTGACATGGCTCTCCCATTTATTTGACACTTGTTTTGACTCTGGCTGCATCAGAGATGGATGGAAATGCAGTTTACTGACTTCAGTTATCTTATTTTGCTACAGTTGGTCGTGCCTTTTTTTCCCCTCTGATGACGGAGCAACACTACTATCTGCTGCTATTGACACATCGAGGAGCTGGGCATTCTGAGAGGAAAACCACTCTCCTGCAGAGCTTAATTAGGCACCACTGCCTCACTTCGCTTGAAAATGAACTCTCTGAACTGCAGTTAAATGAACAAGCAGGCAGAATAAAAAAGAGGCGGCCGTGCACGGTGAGAGCCCCGGGAACAAATATCAGGCGTTCCATGTGCTTGTGTCGCACATGGAACGTCCTCGTGTTTGCTTATTTTCCCACTGAATCAAATCACAGAAAGTTAGGTTTAATTATTATTCAGATGGTAATCCATTTGCAATCTTTTCTCCTTGCCTCCACATTTGTGTAAGGCCCGCGTACCATTTGTTCCCGGCATGTCTGTTGACTCAGAGTGATGTCGGTTAATCTTCGGTCCCTTATCTCCAGCGAGTCCTGCAAGTTTGCTGTCAGCAAGCAAATACACATTTTCAAAAAAGCAATTCAAGAAGCTGTGAGAAGGCAAAAGATGATTGCAACAAGCTGACATTTTTAAGATGAACAATGGGAGTTATGCGGCGACAGCTGGAAGCAAATCAGTGCTGGGCACACAGAGCGGGCCCCTAAAGTCCTGACTGGCTGATCAGTGGTCTGGGGCCATAACGGGTGTCCAGAAACCGGGATGCTCGATAGCCTACTGTGGCTGATCGGTATATGATGGTTTCTGCAGAAGCAAGATCTTAAAGTCACCAAACATTTGCTGTAGTGCAACAGTGATTTGACAAACTTATACTATCAATTCATGCATGAACCTAAATAAAATGTGCACTTCTCCCTGTGAGCAAGGACGTGTTAGAGCTGAAAGTCCAAGCAAGCAGGATCAACAATGTGCTTAAGATACAGCAAAATATAGATGAAAAGCGTATAAGACCCGGGCATGCAGTTGATCTGCTGGATAACTGTGCCAGTGTTTTTTCCTTTGCCCGCTTATCAATTCTGGCCAAAGAGAGTAATGTCAACCGAAAATGGCAAAGCAAAACGACACATTTTACATGGTGTTTGCACAGCTTTGTATGACTGCACAGAGTCAAGGATCTCTGCTACAAGCTTGCCAAATGAATTCTTTATAAGTGGAAGCCAGCATGATTTCAGATCTCATGCAACCCAGCTTAACCTGTAATGACAACATACTTCCCTTTCAGTAAAAACTACAAAACACAGAAAAAAAATTGTTTTTGAAGTTGTTGATCATTCTATATGTCTTTCCTGTCTACAAACCAAATTGCTTCATATGATCTCATTTTCATGCAAAACACTCAAATCACACTTTGCATACCATCAATAAAACGGCTGCTTATGAGCAAAAGTCTAGAAATATTCTTTTAACTGTCAGAAAGCATCTACAAAAGCAGCTGCCCACGCTGGAAAAAATGTCATTTTGAATCAAAAGAACTGCAGGAAACAGTTTTCAGTTGCAGTATTTTTTATTCCAGAGTCCAAGAAAGAGAAGCATATTGTGAGCCAATTATCAGCCCAGAACAAGAGTGGTTTCTAGCTTTGGAGGCCTCCATATTGGCCCACATCACCCTTCTAATCAGTCCATTAACCCTGCTCAGCACACTGATCTGGATATTGAACTGCTATCAGGAGAACACAACTGATAATTGGCTGATTTGTGGAAGAGTCAAATCGGGACTAAAACCGATAATTACAGCCGTAAAGTAATGAGTCAGTTTTTAGGACGCTGACTGAAAGTTAGCACATTTACACTGTGAAGTTATGTGTTCCTTCATGGGGTCAAAGAGTCCTGCAGGCTTTACCCGCCTGCGTTCCGTATGCCATCACTCTGCTATGAAATCCAGGAATTCATGGGCTCTGTTGCCCATTCCTTTCCACAATTCATCAATTTCTCAGACGGCTTGCAGGTCCTGCCTGCCCCCCCAAACTTGACAAAGCTACCTGGTTTCCCTCCAAAGGCCACAGAGAGCATAAGTAAACCTGACATCTTGTTATTCATTCTTTTTTTCCTTAAAGACCAACATTCATTTCTGGTACTGTAAACCTTCTTTGCAACATGGGAACAAACACTTGCTAAATTCACATCTGTGTTAACCTTAAGAGTACAAAGTAAACTCACCCTCTGTAGATGAGAGCTGTGCCTGATTTTAGCACAGTGGTGCTTTTGTTTGGCTCTGTTGTGTGTGTCTGTGTTGATTTGGCTTCTGTGTTGTGTAACGAGGCTGAACTTAAGAACGGAAGTTGGAGGCAGTCACGCCCACGGCATCACAGGAAATTATGTGATGTCCGACGGATGAAAGGCTGACTTTGAACCTTATTAAGCTCAGTGTGTTGCGGTGAAGCGAGGCTTGATTGGATATGGTTGTTTTCAGCTGCTGTGTTGGCCACTTTGCATGCACGGGTCGGTCAGAGTGGAAGTGATTGGCTTTAAACTATGTTTACACAGCCATTTACATGCTTAGCGGTTATGTTTGAGGCCTACAGTTAATGATGCAAACAATTGATGTTGTCCAGAATAGCGCATGCTGGTGGCGTGAAACCAAAGCTGAATATAACTGAGAATTGTATTTTTGTCACAAAAATAATTGGCTTTTTTTAGACAATTCTTTTTAGACTACACATCTACCCAATAAGACAGATCAAATCGGTGTGTGGGGTTTATTATCCATCATGCAATGCTGCATTTATTGATCATTGCTACAGGCTCTTTGAGCACGAGTTGCTTACTGCTGTGTGTTTGCGTTGGTTTAGAAAAAGAAGACTTTGGCAAATTAGGTATACTGTGGTTTCACAAACTTTTAGCTTGTGTAAGAAGTATTGTATCAAAGACACAGCTCATTATCAGTGGCACCACGTAGCACTCTGTGGGATGAGTCTCTCCACTGGAAACGGATCAAACGGAGGTGACTGAATTAACTGACT